AATGACAGAATTTGTCTGGTGTTCCATGGCAGAGCAAAACCACACTCTCATAGCTTGAGTGGGTTCACTGGGGGAGAGTGAGACATGTCCAGTCCAAAATGGATGCCCGAGTTGTTTTAAAATATCAGTAGGTGGCCACTTTCTGAAAATAAGCCTCAGAAAAACTGTGTTTCCCAGGAAACCTATGTGTATGGTTGGCTGTTTCAAGACTTACCCTTTGTTTTATTATTACGTTGTTTCTCCTCCCATGTGATGCCACGAAACAGGAAAAAAATTATTGACACAAAATTTCATCCTGAGATTGATATTGTAAATAGTTCATCCAGGAAAAACAATCAAATGATAAGAGAGTCAAGAGAAATGGACCGCTTGATTAAGAGACCAGGTTTCAATTCCTTCTCTCTTCTGCATGGCTTTCCTGGCTGATCTCGCTCAAGTGGCCTGAAGCTCGGAGATGAGGGGGCAGGTGCAGGTGTGGCAGATGCTGCTGACCCTGGGGCTGGGTGTGCCTGGCTGTGTCTGAGCTGACCTGCTGGGTGCAAGCCAGCGTCAGCAAGGTTGGACTGGCTGCGAACACTGCCTTCTAACTCAGAGCTCCCATCATTTGCTTTGTCTGTAGTGCCCTGTTAGTCTGGTTTCTCCACAATTGCCATCCGGGCCGGGCGTATGGGAAAGTTAGACTTCTTCCAGGCTAGAGTCTCGAGTCGCTCTCAGGGGAAATTACCAACTGGCAGACTTCTGTAATCATCCTGCTGGTATCTGAGAACACTTGCTTCCTGTTAAGACTTTTAGTTTACAATAAAAATTTGTGTTGCTTAAAAACAGTACATTTGTTGGTTTCCATGTGGAACAGAAATCATGGTGAAGCCCTGGTCATATTAATGTATTCAATTATAACAAAATACCAGACAGTCTGACCTAAGTTGCCATAAATAAATCATAGAATCATAGAATGCTTTGGGTTGGAAGGGACCTTTAGAGGTCATCTAGCCCAACCCCCCTGCAGCGAGCAGGGTCATCTTCAACCAGACCAGGTTACTCAGAGCCCCGTCCAACCTGACCTCGAACGTTTCCAGGGATGGGGCCTCCACTACCTCTCTGCCAGTGTTTCACCACCCCCATTGTAAAAGATTTCTTCCTTACATCCAGTCTAAATCTACCCTCTTTTCATTTAAAACCATTACTCCTTGTCCTGTCACAACAATGAATCGATATTAGTCTCTTTTCATCTGATAAAATTTATCCATGGTACAGATCATCCATCATAAATTTATTCATCTTCCACCATTATATCTCAATTCTAAAGAAGACACAAAACTACAATGAAGTTCTCATTGTTGAGCTTTATCCTTTTTCGTATCAAGAAATATGCTGCACTGCGCGTTGTTTTGACCGAGTCACTCCCAAGTGGGATCCTCGGCTTCTGTGGGGTCTGGCCTTAAGGCAGGGACTGTATTTCAGATGGCAAGAAGTCACGCGGGGACGGGGGGCCTGTGCAGCAATGTATGTTTTCAGTATGCAAAAGACCTACCAGAGTGTGTGCTTCACACTTGCTGTAGAGAAGACCTGGCATCAGGTAGTGTAGGAAGGGATGAGTATGCAGTATGCAGCACCGTGTATGTCTGTGTTGTCGCTCATCATTTTTTTTTTGCTTTCTTTTCCTGTTGAAGATTTGCATTGCTTAGGAAGAAATGTATGTGGGGAGCTGGATGAGAGATAAAAGGACTGGAAAATTGAGTCAATGCTAGAGGGGTCCCTGGTATGAAAAAGTTTGGGAACACCACTGATAACATATAACACATGCCACTTTAAATGAAGAACTTATAGGAGTAAAAGCTTACAATAAGCAATGAAAACAACTTTCATGTGGCTAACTGTAATCTACAGACAAGAATGCTAAAATATTGTTTCGAAACTCATAGAATGCAGACTGCAGAGACGCAGCTGTTCCTCGTGGCAGCTGTTTAACTGACCAAAGTGATGAAGTTTTACTTCAGCCTGTGAAGCACCAGCAGCCCACCATGGACACAGGAACTCAGATGTCACTGTGTTGATTTGGACGAGACAGCAGTTACGCCTGGGGTTTTGGACCTTCTGTCCCATTTTCCACAGCTCTTCTGTTCCAAAACTTTTAGCCCAAATAATTAGCTAATGAAAACCATGTTAGAAAAATGACTTAGAGTAATCATCATTAGTTAGTTTGTCTCAGTAATGCCTTAGGGCACTGTATTTCCTTGTTTAATGATACACAGGCTGAAAAACATTCGTTTTTGTTATTTTCAAATGTGTACACCTTGTTAATTTTTACTGTAATTTATTTTTGTGCTGCTACAGAGGCTAATAACTCAGTGAACCTCATCCTATCTTTGCACTGCCAGTCTTTTAATCTAGTTGTGTTACTACCTCTCTTGCAATCAATGGTCAGTCATCCTCTTCTGTAAAACCGCTTGTAAGAATTCTTATGTTCTAGTTGTTACCTTGTGGCAAATTGCATTCAGGGGCTGTCTGCTGAAGTGACTCTTTGGCCTCTTTCTTCTTGCTCTCTTTCAAGGCCTGCATTACCTGCTCATCTTCTTCTTTGAGGTGGGACAAGCAGCTTTGCTGGAGGGCTAGTTGGGATTTTAGAATTACTTTTTTTTTTGCAAAGCTCCTGAGTTAGTAGCTTGATGAGCAGATGTAGCATGAGCATAATATGCTGGCAGGCAGCAGGTTTTCCTCATGCGATCAAAACACTTCCATTCATCAGACAAGCCTTTTCTTTATCAGTGCTCGGCCTGTTAGGGCTTCTCACATGGACAGCATATGGACAAAAGTATCACTGCCGCTTTAATGTTTAGTGCCATTATTATCTCTGGCTTTCAGTTTTGTTGTCACAGGCAATCAGCTGTGGTTTAGAACTTTGTTTTCTTCTGATAATAATTTTTTTTCAATTGTTTGTCATCTTCTTTAGTAAATCAATTATCTTTTTTCTCTCCAAGGCAGTCTCTCCTTGCGTGCTTTTGGCAGCCGAAGTCTTTGGCTAGTTCTTCACTGTCACCTGGAGTCCAACATAAATATATGGTTTTCAGACTTTATTTGTGATGTGAATGGGGCTTTGATACTTGCCAGACTGGTTATTTTAAAGTATTACCACTATATATTCTCCGTCTGGATATTGTTGCCACTGGGTATGGTTTTACTGACCAAACACTAAAGTCCATCTCTAAGATGGTGACCGTGTGCTCCCTGTGCTTCTGTCCATTAATGACAGCTCCTTCTAGCCTATAATTATTTGCATTCTAAAAGCAGTTGTTTGCTTTTCACCAAACGACTCTCACTGTTTTCTTTCCGTTGATAATAAAGAGAGATTAGGGTGATGGCTTGACTGCAGATGTCCATGCTGCAGTGAGCTTAAAGAGACAAATCTCACACCTTCTACCTCAAAAGAAGCTGTTTCTGCAATGCTGTTCAGCATCTCTCCTGTTCTCTCCTCTGTTGTTATGTGCCATTGAAGTATTCCATAAAGCCACCCAGAACTGGTTTTTAAGCAGTGGGTCTCAACCACGTGAAACCTATTTGTATCCTCTTGTTCAAGCTTAAAGCAAGTTTCTTTGATTTACTCCTAAAAGGAATTAAGCTAAATTGAGTTAAAGCTGTTTGTAGTTCTGCCCGGGTCTGCAAGCAGAAGTACAGCAGTGTTGTGACTAATCCCCCTGAAATCTGCACCTGCCCTTCATTTGTTGTCCTGCCCAACCCTGGATAATTCAGGAATGCTCAGTGTTTTAACAAGTCTGGTCTCTGGCAATCAGATGCTTGAACTGAATGCTGATATTCTGTAGTCCAAGCCGTAACGATTAATACCTCGTTTTTTTGTCTCTGATACAGATCTGGTACTACACAAACAACATCTTTAGTGAATCTGGGATCAGTCGTGAAACAATCCCCTATGTTACTCTAAGTACCGGTGGTACTGAGATTTTGGCTTCTGTTTTTTCTGTAAGTATGGTTATAAAAATCCATTAATATGTTTGATATTTAAATTACTGATTTTATTTCCTTATACAAGTTAAAATACAAACAGAATAGTGTATTGAGGATTGAGTGTAATGGTTGATAAAGCAATTGAAAATATTATTTCTAGGTTTAATCCTAAGACCACTTTTGCAGCTTGGCATTTTTTCTATGAAGATGCTCTCTAGTGTTAGTTGCATGAAAGGAGCACAAAAAGTTGATATATCCAGAGATGCTTTGAAAGAGTGAAGAGGAAGAAGACAGGAACAGCAAGGCCCGAAGTATATTAAGTGATAATTCATAAAAATTCATAAATTATTTCACCTGAAAGAATGACTACCTCGTAGCAGTTTTACTGGTAGAAATTTATTCACATCTCAGTCTTCTCATGTGCCTGCTGGGAAGCAGGTGGTGTTGCAGGAGAAGGCTCGGGTGTAGTGCAGCTACGTTCAGTGTGGATCGCAGAAACAGGTATACGTCTTACTGAGCATGTTTTAGTGACATATTTTCTATAGCAGCTTATGAACAGTGAGGAAAATTCTTCAGCCATTTAAAAAGATGGGACTAGATGTTTGTAACCCAGCTTGTTGGAAAAGTAAGCCAGCACACTAGAACAAGGTTGTCCCATGCAGTTTTGCATTCCGCTGTCTCATTCACTGAGGGTGAGCAGGCATCCTTGCATAACATGGGAGCTCCTGTGTAGGTCCTCTACCTTTGCAATGCACTGTACATAGAGGAAGATGTTAACAGAAAAAATTATCCAGGTGCATTTTTTTTCCTTTCCTATTTCAAAATGGAACAGTTGACTAGGGAAAAAAACACACACTAAATGAGCAAACTAAAACTGGAAGTTTTAACAGGTGAATACAACATTATTTGCTAAAGGAAATACATTTCAGTTTGCACTGCAATAAGTAAGAAATAAGGGGATAGGTCTTTGGATTTGCAAACAGGTACATACTCTTTTCTTTCTTTGTTAGAAGTTTTCCTTGTCTTTATATATGCTATACCAACTGTATTTGCACAATACTGGATGCACCAGACAAGAATTTGTAAACATCAGAAGAATGGTTTTGGCAAAAAAAATCCTTTCCAGTGGTAGAGCAACTGCTTATGACCTATGAAATGCTAAACTAAATCCAGCTATCAAGTATGTTTTCTTATGGTCTAGGACATAAGAACTCTCAAAGGTCACAAAGATCTTCTTCTGATCTTTGTGAATTTCCACACGTCTATTTTTGGGTAAGCCATCTTTTTTGTTTGTTTGTTTAGTTAAAGGGGCATTCTTTCTAATAGGTGGTAACAGTGAAGTATGGAAATCCCTACGTCTTACAATTTCTTCTTTGCGATACTGCAGAAGTGCTTCTTTGTTGAAGATATATGTAAAAATAATAAAAATAATAATGATAATTCTGTCAGTGATTTAAGGGAAGAATACACCTCTCTTGTGGAAACAGATGAAAATTACATGGAGATGATTCCATGATATTGAAGCCATTCTATAAATAGGCTCTGTCATCTTTTCAGTTCCTTCTGTGCTATCAGTTTGTGGAGCTTATTCAGAGCACACTGTTCATACATGATGAGGTTGATGTGTCTGCTTTCATCCCTGGTATGCATGCTTCTAGGGAAACTCAGGAAGTGTGGGCTGGATGAGTGGCCGGTGAGGTGGATTGAGAACTGGCTGAAAGGCAGAACTCAGAGGGTTGTCATCAGCGGCGCTGAGTCTAGTTGGAGGCCGGTAACTAGTGGTGTCCCCCAGGGGTCAGTACTCAGCCCAGTCTTGTTTAACTTCTTCATCAATGACCTGGATGAAGAGTTAGAATGTACCCTCAGCAAGTTTGCTGACGACACCAAACTGGGAGGTGTGGTGGATAGACCGGAAGGCTGTGCTGCCATTCGGTGATACCTGGACAGGCTGGAGAGTAGAGTGCAGAGGAACCTGATGAAGTTCAATAAGGGCAAGTGCAGGGTCCTTGCATCTGGGGAGGAACAACCCCATGCACTAGTACAGGCTTGGGGCGGACCTGCTGGAGAGCAGCTCTGCAGAGAGAGACCTGGGAGTGCTGGTGGACGACAAGTTGACCACGAGCCAGCAGTGTGCCCTGGCTGCCAAGAAGGCCAATGGG